CTTGCAGGGAAAGGGCAGCAATCATACAGTCATACAAGTGGCTGCGGAGTGTGACAACGAGAGGAGGGCATCCTTCCTTTTTTATGGTCAAGGTTATTTCTCTAGGCTAACTTAAATGAAGATATCTCAGCCATAACTAAGACATTGGTAGACTTGTTTATCATATGCTACCCTTGAGTGCAGGCCCTCTGTCCAGGTCATACATTTATCATGCATTTCTTATTGTTCAGCCATGTATACAAAGGTCACACATAAATACGTTCATAAGGGTTAATAACAGTTCTTTTCTCTATCAATGAAGCAGAGAAGCATGGGACTCCACACAATCATCGTGCATTTTGTTACCTTAATCTAATTACCATCATGTTTCTAAGATTCTTTGAAAATAAGAAAATGCATACATATAGAACATATTACATTTCTTCTACAGCTTGTTCCTTTTAACAGACTGTAGTGTATGGAGGGGAAATTACCTTAACGTGGAACTTTGTGAGTTGTGTTCATAGGATCTTGTAGTTCAGCGTTTCTCCTCTTTGTCGCCATCTCTGTTTGAAATCTGCAATTGAATTCGTAGACTTCCCGGCACTGTTTCGCTTTTCCGTGGCGGGGAATTTAAAAAGCGAAGTGTCATCTGTCAACCCGTTTTATGACCGGAGAGATATTTGTTTCGTTTTGTTAGTGTCTAAACTACCTGCAGACAGACTTTAACTCAGGTGAGTGCACATTATTATTCAAATATTTTATCATTTAAATTGCATGTATATTGTCATGTAATCGTATTGTTATCGTGTTGAATGGATTGTGACGATAAGAAACAGCTATTTTATAAGAGTATCTTTGTTTGTAAAGGTGAATGTTTCATCATGATCTCTAACTATGTTTAAAATAAGTTAACAATGCATAAAGATGTAATGTGCAGTAGTATGGAGGACCAAACCTGCAGTTAAAAATGAATGAATGAATGAATGAATGAATAAATAAATAAATAAATAAATAAATAAAATTAAATGTGATAATAGGAAAATACATAAAGGAATAAAGGACTTGATAAAATAATTATGATATCATTTTAATCAAATATATTTTTGTATAATTTCCCCCAAATATATCATTTTTTGCTTTTATATTTTAATGTATTTGTATTCGTTTTAATTGTATTTATTTATTATTTTATTTCTTTGTTCAGTTTATTCTTATATTTATTTATGCATTAATTTAATTGTATATTTATTTATTCCAATTTGTTTTTATTTCCAGATATATTTGTTTTAACCTTTATTTATTTAATTTTCTTTCTTTAGTTTTATATCTATTCTTACATTATTTCATTTATTGATGTGCATGATAATTAGGTTGGTTGGTCTTGCTTACCAAATATAAATATTAACTAACACATAAATAAAAGCAGAAAGGGAAGGGAAAAAATACAAAAAATATTTTGATTAAGAATAAATCATATTTATTTTATCAAGTCATTTATTCCTTTATTTATTTTCCTATTATCAAATGTATCTTTTTTTTACTTATTAACTTTTAATTTCTGCAGGTTTGGTCCTCCTATATTGTAATTAATATCACACACATTACATTTAAATTATGAACAAAGATATGTGTGCAATTTAACATTTTTAATTAGTTAAACTTGTTAACTTTTTATATAAATGCATACATTTCTGCATATATATTTTTATATATTATTTTATTTATTTATTTTATAGTAATTATTTATTTTATAGTAATGGAGGAGGATGAAGAACTGCTGAGTTTTTCTCCAACAAAATATCTCAGCTGAGTAAGTAAATCAATTATCTTGTCATGTGTGTTATATACCCATGTCAAATTCTTATAAAATTGGAATAAAAATTGAACATACTGGAGAGAAACCATTCAAATTATAATGCATAATTTTTATGCTCATCTGCAGCCACAGGATCCACAGTCTTATCTACTGTACAACAGGTTACTTTACACATCAGTTTTGGAGGCTTATTCAATTACATACAGACTTATCCTCCATGTTCTTTTGTTCTAACTACTGTTAAGGTTTGAATATACCAGTGGTGAAGGTGGGTGCACTTCATGAATTGTATGCATGCTAAACTGTTATTTGTTGTGAAAAAAATGACTATTTACTTACAAGCATTTGAACATTATCAGAATTTGCATTACTAGAATAAATAACAGAATAAATAGAATAAAAGAATAAATAATGATTAGTCATTTAATGTAGTCAAGACAATCAAATACATATGCACATTCAGTTTTTAATTTCCTCCCTGTGCTTTTCCTTGCAGCTCTGCCGCAGCCTCCAAAAACATCGGCTCCTAGGCCTTCATCACAGGGTGAAGGCTTTGCACCATCTCGTGACGCAACACAATCAGCATCTAAACCTGCACCAATGCTGTCTGCACTCACTGAAACCCCTGTTCCCAGCTACTTGAACAAAAAAGTAAAGACGTGCATTACACACGTGTATTAAATGTGTTATTCGCGCACATACAATATTATACATATTATTGCACTTTTAATATATATATATATATATATATATATATATAGATGTTCATTAAAATTACAAAAGTATTGTATTTTATTTTATTGCATTGCATTCATTTATAGCAATATTTAATCTTGCTCAGATTTGAAAAAAAAAAACAACTAAATATTATATTGTTACTATTAAACACTGTACATAATTATTTAATTTTAAAAATGTTCTTGGTTTTTTTTTTTTTTCATTTTCTCCACAACCATATTATTATTGCTGTTATTTAATCTATAATTTTAAATTGTTAAATTTCTTTCCATTGTCCATTAAAATCAAACAGTTTAGTCCTTGTTTGCATTGCAATTTAGTGTGTTTTTAGAGTTAATTTTATTGACTTGCATTATTTTATCTTGGTCAGATGTGTAAACACTATTAATAACTGTTAATTAAACACTGTACATAATTATTTTTTATTTTTTTAATCTGTTTTTTCCCCAGCTTTATGTTATTATTATTGTTGTTGTTATTATTAATATTATTGTTGTTTAATCTATAAGTATTTAATACATTACCTTTTACAGTTTCACATAATAATATGTATATTATTGTATTATAAATAAAGTGATAAACTTACTATTTGGTGTTTACTGGTTATATTTCATATATATATTGGATTTCTGTGCATAGTTAAAGAAATATAATGTGAAAATCTCTAAAAAAAAATATATAAAGGTCTAAAACATTATCAAAATGTTCTTTACAATTATTCACATTCAAATATTTTCTATATTAAAAGAGAACTATACCCTATTATAATTCAAATGTTTATTGAGATAATTGGACATTTCGTACATCCTACACAAGAACAAATCTTATAAGTTTTTATTATATTTTCAGCACAAATTTAGTTAAAAAAATTATTACAAATTCATGTCAAGGACGATTTACATATAATAATCTAGATACACTGTATGCTATTTGTGGTCGAGACGGGACTCGAACCTATGATTTTGTGTATTTTTTCTGGCCCGCCTTCCTGAAATATCCTGCGTTCCTATTGGCTAGCAGCGCTCTACACCTACGTGCGACTGGCCTCTTCTTGTCATATATTCGTGTATTTAACGTTACTGTTGAAAATACAACTTATGTCACGCTGAGTACTTTAAATAAGTAGCTACTCCTCAGCGACTCTAGGGGTCGCTGTTTGACAAAAAAGGAATTCCCCCTGCACTGTAAAAAAATATGCTCATGATTTGTAATCACAACATTATGTATTTTGTCAAATCAACTTAAAATAATTTATGTTGTTCAGATAACATAATATTTTAAGTTTCTGATGATTAAATCAATCACCTTCATTGTCTTCAACTCAATTTTTCCATTTCAATGAACTTAATTTTTTAAGGCAGCCAAGTTACTTCATTTTTTAAGTTAAACCAACAATATTTTTTGTGTCCCTTTATCACCCTGACATTTATTTTTAGTTAAGCCTATATTTCCTCATTATTAATTCTATTTTAGCTTCATTTTTTACATTTTTTTTTGCCGATTACTAAATATTATGAACTTTGTTTTTCTTGTCCAATAAAAGATCACCAAATAAAAAACACTTAATTTTTTTCCAGAACACTTGTATCCAAAAAGGTTTGACCAGACTACATTGCCAAATACAATCTAGAAAAAGGTACTTGTTTCCAGCTAACGTGTTACATAGTTTACAATAGTACATTCATTTGGCCTTTACTGCGATAAGATCCATGTTTTTAGTGGTGAGAATTTTCATGTGATTATACATAGATCTGACAAGTGGAGACAGCCACGTTTCAGACAAGTGGAATAGTGGAGCCACTATTCAACATTTAAATAACTCTGAATCTGTTCAGTAAAGCTAAAAAATGCATATAATCCATTTAAAACTATAGATCATACATTTTCTGCAAATCACATAATGTTAAGGCAAAAATGTCTAAATCAAAGAAGCCAGTACAGTACATTATAGAAACAAATAGAACAAAACATTGTTCAAATGAAAATAGGCTAGCTGCTAGATTGTATTGTTCACTGTTAATGTGTGGATATGTGGGGTAAAATATTCAGAGGCTGTTCGAGAAAGTCAGTAGCCTATGTATAAGTATATGTTAAAAAAAATAAGGACAATAACTTATACTAAAAAATATGTGTACTGTATACAGGTAAACTCAAACTAAATATGAATAAATTGTGAAATATTTAAACTATTGAATTAATGTCTGAAATATTGTAATACACAATAATTATTTTCCGATTATTGTTTTCATTAAATAAATATAAGACTTCTTTCAATAAAATAATTAAAAACAACAACAACAACAACAACAACAAAAAACTTAATTTGTGCATTTTGGGAGAGTGTATCGTGTCATTATTAATTACTTATTTATTATATAAATTACACCATGATCCAATGTGATATAAAATACCACATTTAGTCTATGTGATATTCACTTACTAGTCGAAAAAACAGACATTTCTCCTTTAAGACAAAACGAAAGTAAAAGTGCCACACAGGCAAGCTGCGTGTGCCTTCCTTGACGCACCTTCAAATTTAACATTTATTTTTGTACTCTGTCGTCTATTTTTTGTCTAATCACATCCATTACGTGTCTAATACAATCATCTTACCAAGGATTGGTTTGTATTGGATTGTTTTTCGATTTATTAGGCTATTCAACTTTTTTCGACGAAACAGCTCGGAATCGCCCACAACAATGATTACCATCGCTGATTTACTCACGTAATTCTATAGGAGCTAAATAGATTAAGCATGGTAAGTGTGCTTGCCTTTGACTTTTTATTCTCTTATTTATTGTTACCTAAGGCAATTATACTAGTTATGAAACAGTAAAGTGTGATGATTATTTTTAGGCCTTGTGTAACGTGACTTCGTCATTAGAAACTCGATATGCTTCGACACTTCCCCCAAATCCATTCTTTTTGGAGTTTTCAGAGAGCAATATGTTTTTTAGATAAAAATTGTCTGGATACAATTTTATTTGCAATCTTTTCTTTCAATTGTGCTTAGGCAAAATGAATTTGACATCCTAGTAGGCCCAATGTAGGCCTACGTCCTTGTTTACAAATAGGCCTAACCATTTACAAACCCAGTTTTGCAGTTTAAGTTTTGCCTTTCAGTAGGCTGTACTCTGTAGTAAAAACTACGACGTATGAACTGGATTGCTAAATAAATATATACGATAGAAGTTTTTTTAAAATTGATTGTTTGTCTAAAATTCCATTGTTTGGTAAACTGTAAACTACCTATTTTTTGTAACTTAAAGGACAAGTTTGGTATTTTACACTTAAAGCCCAGTTTTAGGATTGTTTCTGATGAAATAGAACGGTTAAGATACAAATTTGGACACATGCTGCTGGGCCCAAGAATTTTCAGTTTCTGTGGGGTTCATTTCACCCCCATTAAACTTTAGTTTACAAAGACGTGAAACTCACCGAGTGGTCTGGGTTGTTCACTGATATGCTCACACAAAAATGGCTGCAAAAAATGCTTACCAACAGTTGAATCGTAACGTTGTTGTCCCATAATACTCTGGCCTTGTCTAAGCATTATTGTCTTAAAGACTGAGTTTTAAAGCTACACTACGTAGGCTCTCTGGCAGTTGCACATTGTTTTGGTAATTATGTGTGTTGGACTTTAGCGCTACAAATTCTGTTGATCATGTATTTAAAGTTTAAGGTGTTGCAGTGGTTGGTGATCATCTTATCATCAGAGTGAACTATTACATTCATCCACCCTCCCTCTCCAAAGAAAAAATGAAAAGGATGAATATGCTCACACCTTCCACCTACAGTAGCCAGTAACCATGTTTTTAATTCACATGTTGAAAAATGTGTGAAATATATCCTAAAATCTCTAATATATATATATAATTATTATAGAATACAGGAGGTATGGCAAAACACAGTTTGGAATTGTTTGTTGTTCTAACAAAACAAAATGTACATGACGTAGGCTATAGCTTTAAAGGTTCTATATGTAACTTTTTTTTATAAAATGAATCCTGTTTTATTGCCTGTGTTTGAAGAGGTTGTAATCACACATTGCAATGATCCATTTTTCGGGTTTTGCTATTACCTCTGAAGGCCAATATTCATATTTATATGTGAGGTCTCCGGGTCGGATTTTCTGCGAAATCCATCAAATGTGATGTGCATGCGCACTCCCGAGCCTCTCTATCCAGTCAACCATGTCTCTGTCCAGTCTCTATACAATCAACCATGCGACCGACGGCACTTCAGCTGACGACATGGAGTCTGATAACAGCCCAAAACGTCCTGCCTCCAGCACAACACAGACTCCAACACAAACTCCACATAAATATAAAAAACAAAAAAGTTTTATCTGCCCAAGCTCGTCAGGCAAAACGTGAATCTGATCGACTCCGGACGAAAACGCGGATCAACATAGTAAACTCTAGTGAAATAGCAAGGTAAACTACATGAAACATGACATGAACACAAAAGAATGTTCCAGGATAACAAAAAGTCGGTGCTTTAGGATGTAACTTATTTTATTTACTAGCTCTACTGACTAACGTCACTCATCCCACTACTATCATATTGTTTATAATACACATTTCCAGACACGTTCAGTACAGTAATGTTACTTCTTACGATCTTACTGATACACTGAAACTGTTCAGTTTAGTTCACTAACCGTTTTCGTTAGGCCTAAAAAAAAAAAGTTTGGTTCCGGTTGGTTGTCAGTTGAGGTCATGGGTCGGTAGGGAATTTTTTTTTTTTTTTTTTTTTTTTTCAGTGGCAGCAAGGGATGGGTAGGAAATTATTCAGGGCTCGACATTAAAGGGATAGTCAAACCTAAAAATATCAAAATTGAAACTACTGTGGAAACAAAGACACCTACATCTTGGATGCCCTTGAGTTAAGCTAAAACATATCAAAAATTAATTTCAAAGTGAACTATCCCCTTAAGCCTTTTCACGTGCTTGTCCTCCGGACAAGTAAGTAAATCTGTCAATCACTTGTCCGAGTAAAAAAGTTGCTTGTCCGGATTTTTTAAATTTATTTATTTTTTATTCTGAAGCAATATTCTCATCAGTGTTCAATCAGCTTTGATATTTAAAAAGGCAAATTGTAATATCTGCACCTTTAAGGGCATCCCCTCCACCAATATTATTAAATGCCCTATGTCTTATTATTCTAAATAATTGAATTTATTGATCAAATTTAGGAATTTAAAATGAAAGATGAAGCATACTGTTACCCTAGGTAGGGCTGATGAAATTAAATCATTTACACTGAAAAACTACAATTTCATAAAATAATGTTATGAAATTGATTTAAATGTGCAAATAAGAAATATTGGAAAGAATTATACTAGGCTACTTATAAACATAACACTAAACTGCCATAGGTGGCGGCAGGCGGCCGTATAAATGAGTGAGTTATTGATTCATTAATTCAAACGATTCGTTCAAACGGTTGATTCATTCAAGAATGAGACAGATGTTGATGTTTATGAATGGGTCATTGAATCCTTGACTCAACCGATTCGTTCAAAATGCTGAATCATCCAGTAATGAAAACAGGATGAGTTCCTGTGAGATGCGTCGTGGTTCTGCTGTGACTTTTCTTTGGAACTATTTTCGCTGCTGAAATGGAACAAAAACACCCAATATTGCTTATAAACAGTAAGTGACTTAATCTGTTTATTGAACTGTTGTAGGAAATCAATGTCACTTTTTCAATCGTGATGGTATTCAGGAAAAATAATTGAGGCTGCTTAGTGCTTAACATTATGTTAAAATATAAAAACTCCACATTTAGATTTTTTATAGGCAGAGTATGTTGTTAACTGTGTGTGTGTGTGCTCCGCTCATGTGTGTAGATTTCTCGTCAACAGCGCAACTTTACAATCAGTAATACAGTAGGCCTGCTACATTTATTATCCACAATCGATCGCAACTTGCAATAAATGTAAAATCAGAATAATTCTCTCGGTTTAGTGATTCCCTAGTTATTTTTTTGTTTGTTATTGATGTTCTAATCAGGCTACTTGTCCGTTGGGGCGAGTAAAATTCTCTTTTACTTGTCCTTCAAAAATCTATTTGTCCCGGAAAAGCGGACAAGTTAGACGGGCTCTAGAGATACGAACCGCGGCAGGTTAGAGTGTTTTGGATTGCATAAAATAATGAAAGAAACGAACAAATACATGGCGAAAGAAGTGCTAGACAGCAGAAGATGGGATTGGGATCATGATTGGATCATGATAGGATGATTTTTTAATAAAACTAGGCGGATGGAGGTATTAGTATGTGGTGTGTGCATGCCTATGAATGCATGTATTTGTATGTGTGCTAATATGAATAAAAATATCCTAAATTACAAAAAAAGACTTGTATAGTATGTATTATAGTTCAGTTTGACGAACGATATCTGCCTCGTTTGTTAATAGATTGCTGGAGGACAAGATGCATCTTACATCGCGTGCTATAAAAAGACGGAGCTGTACAAAAACGTAAATTAATAGTTCGCCTCAGAGTTTTTTATTTGTGTATTTATTTAATTTTTATTATTTCTTCCCCAAGCTCATAAAATAATTTTGGGTCGCACATAAATTGACAGGGTCGGTCGGAAACCGGAAACAAACAATTTTTTTTTTTTTTACGCCTTATCATATTATACATTCACCTGTGTTGACATTGCTGATTGTGAAAGATACACGAAAATAGTTAGTGAAATGGCTTATAACATCGCATGTCGGCTAAATGCAGTTTATAACATTATCATGGTATGAGCACAGAGCATTAGTTCAACGTCAAGCTGATAAAAGTAGGCTATTATTGTACCTGCAGTGGGAGTTTACATTAGTTTCCAGCCTGTTGTGTGATTATTTCGCCGTTGCGTTGAAAGTCTCCGTGTGGCCGCTAGTGATTGCTCGCTCTTGAGATCTAGCACGCACACGAGCACGAGCGCTCTTGTTGCATTCTGAAATATCACCGCTAGAGGCCGCTAAAAATCGCATACAGCACCTTTAAATGCCAGAAAAATGCTAGTTTATGAATAGATGTTTTTTTAGTGTATGTAGACGATTTGTAGAACCTTCAATTACAATAATATGTATGTTTGCAATTTGCTTTTATCGGACTATTACATATTATTAGAACATATTATTAATTCAACTTTTACAAGACACTTTTGTCTCCATGTACGACAGGGTGAGACCAGATGAAGCAGCATCTCCAGCACCCTCACACCTTTCTATGGAAGTCATCAGTCAATGGATCGGCCAGTTGTGTTCAGAAATGCAGGAGAAAGTTATATTGGAGAGAAGTATGAGAATTTACTTTGTCAGGAGGTTTAAAATAGTGTGCTTAATGTATAATTAAGAAAACTTTAATATCTACAATACTGTTTGTTTGGCATTGGGTATATTGTGCATTGTTAATCTGGTTTTATGTCACCTTCTGCTTTCTAGGCAGTTAGAATCTTTAATAATTAATAACAATCTCTCATTATTCTCATTATTATTACAGCTAAAACAAACTTTGCTGCAATAGTTTCCTGTTATCATTGTAAAGGTGTTTTGAATCAATCTGTAGTGTAAAAAAGCACTATATAAATAAAGGTGACTTGACTTGTCTTCTCCATGTCCCACAGGGCGAGACCAGATGAAGCCGCATCTCCAGCACTCTCACTCCTGTCTGTAAAGAGTGATCAGTCAATGGATAGACCCATTGTGTTCAGAAATGGACTGCAAAGTTATATGGGAGAGAAGCATGAGGACCACATGTCCCACAGGGCGAGACCAGCCGAAGCAGCATCTCCAGCACTCTCACACCTGTCTGTAAAGAGTGATCAGTCAATGGATAGACCCATTGTGTTCAGAAATGGAGCGCAAAGTTATATGGGAGAAAAGCATGAGGACCACATGTCCCACAGGGCGAGACCAGATGAAGCCGCATCTCCAGCACTCTCACTCCTGTCTGTAAAGAGTGATCAGTCAATGGATAGACCCATTGTGTTCAGAAATGGACTGCAAAGTTATATGGGAGAGAAGCATGAGGACCACATGTCCCAGAGGGCGAGACCAGCCGAAGCAGCATCTCCAGCACTCTCACACCTGTCTGCAAAGAGTGATCAGTCAATGGATAGACCCATTGTGTTCAAAAATGGAGCGCAAAGTTATGTGGGAGATAAGTATGAGGACCAGATGTACCACAGGAAGAGACCAGCCGAAGCAGCATCTCCAGCACTCTCACACCTGTCTGTAAAGAGTGATCAGTCAATGGATAGACCCATTGTGTTCAAAAATGCAACAGAAATTTACATTGGGTATGAAAAGTATGATTATTTATATGTTTAAATGGTGTGTTTTTGCATAATGAAGACAAAACAAACAAACAATTTATTAGACATACAACTATCTTTTTCTTGAATATATTGTATGTCTCTTTTACATTATTAAACTTGAATTTTCTGTGTCATCCTGACAGTCAAAGACCAGATGAAGCAGCATCTCCGGTAACTTCATACTTCTCTTTAAAAAGCAACCAATCCATGGATCGACCGATCGTATTCAAAAACAGAACTCAGACTTATCACACTGAACGGTATGCAAATTTGCATTATTTTATCAGATATGCATGTAATTGTAGTGTGGTTGCAATATAAAAATTCAGTAGTCACTACCAATACCAGTAAAATGTAATGATTCTCTACTAATTTTAATCAAATGGTGTGATCAGCTCCAACTGAACCTGCCTAGAAGTTTCTATGAATCGTTTACACCTTGATTACCTGGATCAGCTGAGTGTGTTTTTTGGGGGGTTGGAGCTGGGGGAGTGGCCCTCCATGAACTAAGGCTATCTTTGAAATTGCTTTTTATACCCTCATTCACTATTCCCTAAATTAGTCCACTTGAAGGAGTCAATGAAAACGAGTGAGTGAATTACAACACTGAGTGTGCAGGAAGGTAACAACTTGTTCACCGAAACTGGCAGCTCCAGTAGTAAGCCGAAAATTGTAATATTTTATATAATTCTGTCATGGAAACTAGCATGCATAAGCCTTAATTAAACAATTTAATAATTTAAAATGGTTTCGAAAATGTATGGATGGATGAATGAGCTGTGGGCGCCACTATGGTTTTGGACACCACTACAAATGACTGTCCCAAAAAGTACTGACTTTAGTACCAAACCGGTACTGAAATTTAAAAAATGTGACGCTTTGAGTGCTGTTGAGTGGAATCGTAAACACCTGCTTGTCCTTTGTACTCAAACGTGTGATTACGCTCATCAGATATGTCTGTAACCACTGTTTGAAACAACTGATATAGCAGAATCAAAAAAATATTCATATAAAAATTAAATTTGGTTGTCAACTCCCTAAACTTTGCTGTGCATCTGCAACATGACATCATGACTTTTGCGTAAACATACACGCCACTTTCAAGTGAAGTGGCGTGTTATCTATGCGCATTTTGAGCTATTCGCATGTATCCACGTGTATGCCTAACGTCCGAGTGATTCCGCATGTATGTACATGCTGTTAAATGTACGAGCGAAACGAAGCAAAATGTAGATCTACATCTGGGGAGTGATATTTTTTTCCTAGTATGGTAGGGGAAGACTCATAAATGCGATTAACCCCAGTGACGGGTTTAGGGACGGGGTTGGGGTTGGTCAATTATGATCAATATTTACCGCATTGAGTTTAACTGTTTTAAGGGGAACATAGGAATTAAGTTGTGCAGGCTATGGCTTTTTAATAGACAGATTAGCATCATGCTACTTCGCTATGATGACTAAGTTACTTTTCCATTGATTGCACTTAAGCAAACGTCACCAAACCAACCCCACGTCAATCGGATCGTACACCTCCAGTGATTTCCAGGCTTGGAATTGCTCACATGTGTAAAAACTCCTCAACAATACCAGATAATGATACACATGAAAATACTGTATCTGAGGCAAAGTTGCATAATCAGTGCTCAGTTCTTCCTTCGTTACTGCATACGGATCCACACCGCTGTTAAATGTACGAGCGAAACGAAGCAAAATGTAGATCTAAATCTGGGGAGTAATATTTTTTTCCTAGTATGGTAGGGGAAGACTCATGAATGCCATTAACCCCAGTGACGGGTTTAGGGACGGGGTTGGGGTTGGTCAATTATGATCAATATTTACCGCATTGAGACTTCTTCCTAACCTCTGAAATTCACTCTGGCAGGCTAGATAACAGCTTCTGGGCCAAATCCTGACTGTTGGTGATCCATTCTTGCCTTATCAGTGCTCAGAATTGATCACATATATGATATGACATATATGATATGTTCCCTTCGCCGTAGCCTGACGCACAGCTCCTCAAAAATGTAACTACACGTCGCGACGACGCAGATCGCAAGATCTGTGAGTGGTCGGCTTGGTAACATCACATTTCCTCCTACGCATTTCCGCATGTACCATCTCCTCCGACGTCTTCTCTCGTTTCTGCCTTTTAGTTTTAGTAATTTCACTAAAATTAACTGTTTTTCCACCTCAATAAGCTCCAACTCCAACATGATCAGCTCCCTTTCAGTCGCCATTGCTTGTAGTAACATAACCGAGAGGAATCTAAACACAGTGGAACATTAAAACCCTCCGCCACCAACTAGCGTTTCGGAGCAGTACTGCAGAGCAACCAAGACCTGAACGTAGAAGTATAAATGCTCACGACGGCGTCGCCTATGTGCATAGCCTACGGCGTACCCTCGACACAGAAGTATAAATTGGCCTTTAGCGCACTAAGAAAACTCAAAACATACATCTTACCAAAGTTGTTTATGTTCCTAAGTGTGTTCCCCGAAGTATCCCTTAGGAAGCTTCTTAACACGCTGCCTCTTATGTTCGACGTTACAGAGGTGTTGTCCCAAGTGAAGGTGCTGAATCAGTTGGCATTGATTGCTCAGGAATCGATTTTCCACTTCACGCGAAGGTGCATTACGGTGTTAAGAAAGACAACACGTTCTATGCAAATGAAACATTCCTCAAATTATTCCAGTAACATTTATTTTAACATAGTTTAAATTAACAGTAAAATATAGACTATTAATTAAATTATCAAATTGTCAGTAATATGTTCACACGATATGTTCGTGTATGTGACGGGTAGACGAACCGGTTATCCCTCACTAATTATCCACCCTCCTTACACCGTTGTGCCACTTATGCCGCTTCTTGACATGGGTTTAACGACTTCTAAAAGTTATGTAAAACACTTTTATATTAATGGTTGTAATCAGAATTGATTGGCAAGTTTCTACAGTTAATTCTGTTTAATGCGGTATTAATTGCCATTGGTTAAAGGCTTAAGGGCTTAAAGCAAAGTTCCGGCTCGTTAGCCTGGAAGGTCCAGCAGCTCCATAATGAGTTGTCTTGGGAGGCGAATTTTTTTTAATATACATAGTTCCCACATGACGTCATAACATACGGGCATTTGCCGACCCGGCGCCATTGCTGAGGGCAAAACATTAGAAGAAGCAATATGAGTTGAACGAAGTGAAATGAGTTTCGTGCTATAAAGTGAAAATGGTCATCTCCTGCTGGGTCAATGGATGATAAAATCGTGCCGGAGGTTCAGTTAAATCGGGATTTTGAGAAGACTAAGCTTTTGTCCGAACAACGACGGAGATTATGGCTGGCGAGCATAAACAGGAAAGAAACTCACTCAAAACACGCAAGAATTTGTTTGACAAAAGCACAATGTTGTGTTTTATTGCGAGTGTAAACAAATGTAAGTTAACAGATTGCAGTTTGACACGTCCCCCCCACATTTCAAAATCTAAGTTTTGTACCCCCCACTATTTCCCAATGTAGGATTTTGTTTGGCATTGCTTGCCTATCTCTGCCAATTTTGGAGTCTCCCAATTAATCCATTGTGCAACTTTTAAACACATAATTCAATTTTGAAAAACGACCGATATTTTTCAGCTGTCGTCAGTTGACCATGATCGCGGCATCGCGCACCGCTCGCGCATGCCCATCTAGGTGACACGAATAAATGTACGCATCAATATGTTCCTGGGAGATCTGTAGTTGCATGGGATGTGGAAGCGCGCAAAAGTTCTAAAAATGTACAAAGTGCCCTGGCCTTGAATGACAAGGTAAGGAAAATAAGACTAATCTATTCAGTCAGCATATTTGTGTTTGATCTGTGTGAAAAACGTGAAATATAATTGCTAGACCTACTTTTATCTACCAAGCAACCTTCCCACAAGGGATAGATTGATTTTATTTTATAGTATTTTATAGTTAATGGAAATCAAATCAACCATTTATTTGAGTTAATCAGTACATAACTGATTAACACTAATGTAAATGTAATGTAAAATTTTCGCATTGTAGGCCTACTTCTCTCTGTCTTGTTTTAATAGTCTCTTTATAATCTATTTCACTTTGTCTTTTCATGATTTGCATAACAATATAAACAGAAATAAATATTTGTTTGTAAAACGGCATTCTCAGATAAAACTTTGTAAATGCCTATGGTAAACACAGCGGTTTTGCCCTCAAAGATGGCGTCTCCGGGGAGGTCACGTGACATTAATTCGCCTGTGGGAACTATGTATAGCCATGTCAGGCAAAATGTCAAAAGGCTAGCCGAATAAAAAAAAAAAATGACATGGACTAAATGGCTCTGCGCCACTAAATGGCGCTTGCCTATTTATAGATGTTAGCCATTTAGAGCCAAATTGTTTGCCAGATTTTATTATCAAAAGTGATTGCCAATTGAAACGCTTTACAGCATAGGCTACTTACCACCATATTAGTTCTGATACCAAATAAAGTAAAAAAAAATGAAAGTATGAAAGTGTGACTTACAGAAGATATACTCAGCGTACGAACGTGTCGGGAATCGTGCCATACTATTCTTTATAATAGTAGTGTTTGTGGGCAGAATTGGGAGAGATCCACTCTCTTTGATTAAAAGCAACCCCACATATGGATGGTCTCAGGATGCTTCACTGTTGGCTTGTCACAATACAGGACTCATAGCGTTCACCTTTTCAGTTGATTTTCCAGGTGTCCCAATCAGTCGGAAGGGGGCGTCATTAGAAATAATATCTTTGCACCACCCTTCTGCAGTCCAAATATTGTACTTCCTGCAGAATTTCAGGATGTCCTTGATGTTTTTCTTGGAGAGAAGTGGCTTCTTTCCTGCCTTTTTTGACGCCAGACCGTTGTCCAAAAGTCTTTGCCCCACTGTCATCCAGATGCATAGCCAAGAGAGAATATAAGTCTGAATCTCCTACGTTGGGCTTTGATTATGAGGCGTGTCGTAACCGAACCAGGAAAAAAAAAACCCTCTGCACTCAATTGGATAGTCCGTAGACCTACAACCAATCAGAGCAACGCAGTAAGTCAACTCCTTTGCATAGCGCAGTTTTCAAATACAGAACGTAGCCTAACTTTACTTATTTTAGTAGTTAAATAACGAGTGTTGCTTCTTTTACTTACTCCTCCATGAGTGCCACCAAAGGAGAAACCACAACGACCACAGGCTTTTCATCACGTCCCATCTTCTTAATGACCGTCAGAGCCAGCTGATAAGTTACACTTTTCCCGAATCATGTAGGAAGGACGGCAAAAATATCTTTCTGATCGACAAATGCCTTGATTGCAGTTTTCTGTTTGTCTATTAAAATGAATGCGCTGTCGGTTTATTTCACAACAGACGCGACAGCGGAATCTATACATCTCAATTCTCCAGCTGCTGTCATCT